CGGGTGGTGAGTGGGAGGGAGAGGGTGTCTGGAGGAGGAGGGGCTGAGAATAGAAAGGTTAGTGGGGTCTGACATGAAAGAGAGGGACATTACAGCAAAGAACCACCAGCAACACAGCCTGGGCTTAAGTGAGCACCCGGCACCCCCACCCGGGCCACTCCGCTGCCTCTCTGGAGTGGAGAGCTCATCCACTGCTGGGCAGAAATAACATCCCAGTTCAACCTAGACTTAAACATTCTGACCTGACCTTAAGCATGGAGATTTCGGGGCACAGCCCTGTTTCGCAAACATGTGTCCTGGTCCTTATCTCTGACTTTTTTGGAAAAAGATTTGGAGAAAAGGATAAATGAACTTTCTGAAGATTCTTGATAAACTTTAGGAAAACATTTATACTACCAACAACAGTATCAGAAAAATGACCAGCCTCACTAACATGAAGAAAAGCAAATGAAAACAAACAGGGAAACATTTTTATAGTGTTAATGTTCAAAGCTAAGAGGCATCTGAAAAGTTAGTTTCTCTCATATACTATGACAGTATTGGCTTAAGTTTATACCATCTTCCCATGGCACAGTTTTGACCTCCCCAATATGACATCATTTCTCCAGAAGTGCACTGTCCAATCAAAATATAAGGTGATCATGCTATATGTAATTTTAACATGTTTGGTAGCCAAATTTTTAAAAGTAAAAAGAAATAATTGAAATGAATTTGAATAATATACTTTACCTAACCCAATACATCCCAAATATTATATTCTCTCATACTGCAAGATTGTCCATTTTATGAAAAAATTCAAAACATATATTTATTGTAATTTATTTGTAACTCCAAAGTTAATACCTGTGGCACTGGTGCAGTCATTCAGGGACATGTGCATGTGCAGAGTGGTGAAAAGTTTGAGCCTCCCAAAGTGCACATTCCCAGTCACAGTGGAAATGAAGTGCTGCCCAGTGTTCCTACGTGCAAGAAGGCTGACATGCCTCGTGGAGAAAACACGTGCTAGATAAGCTTTGTTCATGCTTCAGGTATAGTGCTATCGGCTCTCAGTTCAATGTTAATGAATCAATGATATATATTAAATAGGGCATCTCTAAACAGAAGCACCTATAAAACAAGGTTCTGTATTGATCAGTTGATGAAATAATGACCACAGGCTTGCAGGAACCTAATTCTTAGGATCAATAAGGCAGTATTTGCTAATTCATTGTTCCTGGGGACTTTACAGACCACAACCACTTGGAATAATTATAGCCAACTCTATTTCTTGACTCTACTGATGTTCAGATTCAGTGTGAGTTGTACCTTTCCTGGGGGCCCAGTGGTGGATAAAGCTCAGTGTCAAGCCACTGACAGATAACAGACAGAAATAGACCACAACCAGCTCCAAAGCCTAGGCTTGCCAAGGCAAACAGATTAAAATTCACAGCAGATAGGAAGAGACTGGTTTTATTTCTTATTGATTGATTGACTAATGATAGGGCATTGTACCCAATTAACCTACAGGCATGTGGACTAAGGCTCCAAAACACATTAAGTGGTAGAGGTGATGGCTAGAAGGGCAGGAGTGGCAAAGGTGAGCTTATTGCCCTTGGAAGGATTGTATCTTTTTGACCACATTACTACTGACTTCACTGCTCCATGGGGAACCATGGGAGAACTCACAAACCTGGACCTCTGTCTGGGAGCAGGCTGCACAGTCTGTGGCTTTGTGTAGACACTTCAAAGAGTTCCCATTTCCTTTGTCACTAGAGAAAACACATACCCTCTAAGCAGAACTGTTGGTATTGATAACTTTGTCTACACATCAAGCAAACAGACCAGTGACTGGGCCTGAGCATAGGAAGGCGGCAGAGGACAGCCATGCCAGTTCATCCAAGAAAGCACACATCCTCCCTTTCCGTGGGGAAAGAAAGAAAGCTTCTGATTCTGTTTCATGTGCCCCTGATGGAGGCAACTGCATCTTGCCCACGGCCCCCAGGAGCTTTGCTGTATGAATCAATCAGCCATCAAAGAGGACCATAAAATGCCTGATAATTCAGTTGTGCACCTGGCTGTGGAGACGCCCAGAACTTTCCCCACAGGTTTCCACTGCTGCTGGTTTCAAGGTGGATACAAAGTTCATGAAAACAATTTCTGATATGGAAGGAGGCATTAGAGAACCTGTATCAGAAAGGGCCGGAAATGACTGCAGGGTAATGGGTGTGTTATTTCTGCACGAATGCTAATTATGAGCCATTAACCCAGCCTGCAGGTTGGGAGAAACCCGGGTCAAGGCAAGGCTCTCTCCTACCCAAATGACTAGAACAATTTCACCCAGTTATAAGTGGGCTGTATTCATTTTTTTGTGGGATGCAATGAAAGCAGAGCTTAGAGGAGAAGTTGTAGCTTTAAATGCTTATGTTATAAACTAATAGAGGGAAAAATGAAATCGAAGATGAATCAATCAAGCAGAATACAGAAAAGGAAAACAGGAATAAATAGGGGGAAAAAAGGGGGCAAATAGCACAATTAAGATGACAGAAAGTTCAAATATATCAGTAATCACTGTTAGTTCAAACATGTTAGAGACCTTGATGAAACAGAGATTGCTAGACTAGATTTTTTAAATTTAAATATATACTTTTAAAATTATATTAAATTATATTTAAATATATTAATTTAAATTAATATAAAAGAATTTTGACACAGAAAAGACTGGAAAAAATACACTACGCAAATGTTAACCAACAGAAAACTGGAGTAGCTATTAAGGCAGATTTTAAGACAAAAAGTGTTACTGGGCAAGAAGGGGTTTACAGCAAAATCATAAAGGGGACCATTTTTGTGTACCCAACACTCCAACTATAAAAAGCAAAACTGACAGATCCACAAGAAGAAAGTGACAGACCCACAAACAAAATGGAGATTCACACACATCCTCTAAAAACTGTCAAGTCAACTAAAAATCAGTCAGGGAAAATAAGGAGAGGTTGGAACAATCAGGGTGACAATAATAGTCTGTGTGCCTGTAAAACTTTACCAACTTCCTACAACTACTATCTTGACATCAACCTTGTTGGAAAAATTGGGGAGGTACACTAATCTACATTTTATAAAACAGGAAACAGGAGCGAAGAATGTGATAGTCACAACCAGATGACCAAGCCAGCAACAGAGGCAGAAGTGAGAACTCTTCCTGACGGCAAGGCAAAACCTCTCTCCTACAAATCAAGCCCTGTGATTCCCTAATTCCCTTTTCCTGTCTTTTTCTTTTACTGTCTAGCTCAGGAGTTGAGACAATAATTACGTTATTATGTGTAAGTGCTCTGAGCACTTTGGGGAAATGAGCCATTTCTATTCATATATGATGCTGATCAGCTTTCTCTTAAAACCTTGGCCCTCCACATACTCTCTGCAGAATAGTCTCATCCCTAAACAACATTCTCTAATGCTGTCATAGAAGATACAATGGTTCACCAAGGCCAGAGCAGAGTGCCAGAGTAGCAGAACACCACATGCAGAGTGGGAAGGGAAATCATCATTTACTGGAAAGGCCACCCTAGGAGGTTTTGCTCACTAATCACTCTCTTTTTGTCCAAGACTCTTTCCAATCCTCCATCAGATGTAGCCAGATGCAGTCTTCAAATTATAAAGCAAATGGACTGCTTCTTGAGGCTTTACTCTCCAAGGAAGTTACTGTTAGGACCACACCTCACTCCTGGCCCAGCTCTGTGAGGGCCCCACGTGGAGCCCTGTCCACTCACACACTGACAGCACATGGGAACTTTTGCCAGTCCCAGAGCCAACCCAGGATGGGCCAAGGGGCTGAGGGCTCCCACCTCATCCATGTGAAGTCTCGGAGTCCTTCTCCACAAGGGCTTTCCATTTGTCCCGCAAAGTACCCATGAGTATTAGAGAGCTTCGATCATTCCAGAAGTCCACTCACCCTTTCATCTAAAGGGATTTCAGGAGATAAGAGTGCCCCTCTAGGACAGAAGCTGAGATCTTGCCTGAAGGCCAGGGGAAAACATGGGTTCAGCCCAAGGTTCAGGGTGGATAGGAAAAGAGCCCTGGGCACACCTGAGGCCTGGAGTTTCACTCAACTGTCCCCAAGTGCCTCTGTGGTCCCCTGTGTGTCACTCCTCTCATAGTTCATGCCCTCTTCTGGAAAATCAGGGCATCACCTGCCTCAATTCCCCTCCACCTACACCATTACATTTGGAATGTAATCCAGATCCCCAGGCCCAGTTCTGGTTCTTTCCGGTGTGACCTGGCCTCCCAACCACCACTGCCCACCCTTCTTCCACTGGTGCCTCTCTTCTTCCTCTGTCTGAACCTCTGCTCTCCTCCCTGGCACATGCCATCTGTTCTGAGTCTCCAGGACAAGGGTACTCCTTCTGTAGGACGACACTGGCCATGCTGAAATTAGGCTGTTTTTACATATATTTCCAACTTGCAAGTGCCTGGGAAGAGCAGGGGTCTCAACTTACTTCTTTGAATCCCTGAGTGCCCTGGCAATACCTGGTATGCACAGGTTCTCAAAATATATTCATCAGATGGACGAACAAAAGTGGGTAAAATTCAAGTGATTTCCATCAAAAGATTAGGTACTTTGTGCCTGCCCGTTTGCGTGGGTAGCTTGAGATAACACTGCAGGTCAGGACCCATGAGATTTATAGGACAAGAGATAGCTTCAGGCTACCTTCTCTACTTTCAAAGGGGTCCTGGCTCCAGCTTTCTAAAGGGAGGTGTAGAGTCATGAGATGTAGGAAAGCTGAGATTAGTAGGAACTTTGATCAGCAGTGAAATCTTCAGAGGCTGCTTCTCAGTTTAATACTGTTCTTTCTGTTCATCAGCGAAGCAAGTTGCTGGGCAGGAGGGAAGGCAGGAGGTAATGGGAGGGTGGGTGGGGACGCAGGTAGGAGGGGTCAAGGATGCACAGTGCCTGTCATCTCCATGATACAGGCAGCTCGTGTGGTTGTATTTTAAACGAAATTGCATCCCCGTGTAGACACAACGTCTGGAATTACAAGCCTCCCTGTGATCTGTCACTTTTATATATATGCTCGAGGGAGCGGAGTGGTTTCCATAGAGAGGAAGTCTCACAGCCCACTTAGGAACAATACAAGAAGGAGCCGTGACCCAGCGGACACAGAAGTTCTGGGGGATGTCCCTGGGGCCCACCTCCTGGTCCTGAACTGCAGCCGCCTCATTGAGCATTTCCACTCCGGAGAGAAGGCCACACTCTCAGGTGAGTCTTGGCTGGGGAGTCTTCATGAAGGATACATTCACTTATCCTAACTGAGGCAGGAGGGGTTGGGGGAGAGATGAGGGTGTCCGCTGAGGGGCACAGTGCTGAGCACCATGGCTGCATGTTAAAGAAGGAGAAACCGGTCCCCAAGACACCAGGGAGATGCTTCTTAGGTGGCCAAGAGACCCTCCCTGTGTTGGGAGATAACTGCTGTGCAAAAGGTAGAAGAGGGGAAGCAAAATGGGCTCAAACAAATGCACTTTCCTGAGCAAAGTTTGGCTGTGAATATGACAAGCCTGTTTGCAAACAGACTTGGGGTGAAGGGTTGAAACTAGGGGACATTATTCCCCATGCTGGCAGGATGCCTACACTGGCTACTTAGCTGCAGAGCCTACAGCCAGAACATCTGCATTCCTTCCCTCCACATACCTGGGAGGCAGGTGGTATCTCCTTCCAGGGACATGGCAACTGGGAGGGTGGGGGGTTCTCCAACCCAGGTCCTCTGCCCCTAGAGCACAGAGTCCTTCCCCCTGGCTATGCTGGGGCACCAGAGGAAGGGGCCAGATACCTGTAATGAACAGGTACTCCCTGTGAAGGGAGAAACCATAACAAGGGATGTTTGACGTCCAAGCTTTCTGAGAAAATGTGTTTGCAGTGTTCTCAAATGTAGCAACCTGGCGCATGCACACACACAGGGACACACATATACACCCAGAATGGCTGAGATAAGGAAATGAATATGAAGACTGCCAACAATCAGTGTTATTTGAAACATGTCAACTTTCTCTGGCTGTTCCTCCCTCCCTAGGGGATAACTCCGTCATGTATGAGCCCTCACTGCTCACTTTGAGGATGAATTGTTAGAATTCTGTACATGTGTGTGTGTTACACATAAATACCTCCAGAGTCTAGAAAACAGCTCATTACAAGAATACCTGTTGAAATGCTTAAAGGTTCCCTAGGTCCTACAGCTAGGGTTTTATAAAATGTTTTTTAACTCAACTTCTTCCTAGTTTGCAGATGAACTGAGTAAAGTGGGGGATGCCTCTGGCATCCTCTGGCTCATGGCCCACCCTCTGCCCACCACCCTCTTCCCTCCTAGGTGCTCAGTTTCAGTCTGATCCCCACCAGCTTGCATCCTAGGGCGTGACTCTGCTGCAGCTCCAGGGAGGGAGTGCAAACCTTGGAAGCTCCTAGAGGCCCAAAAGCAAGGCTGAGCTTCAGGTTTCAGATGGAGCAGACTCAGTGGAGAGCTTCCCCTGGAAATCTAATAGATGGGGTCACCTCTTTGCCGCCAGCAACAGAAAAAGCCTTTAACCTTTGTGTTGCTTCACCAGCGATGATGGCAAAAGAATCCAATGAGTGTAAGAGGAAAAAGTGCCTAGGAAGTAGACTTCAGAGCACAGCAGAGCATGTCCTGTGGAGATGTTCCTCCTTTAACACTGAACCCTAAACAAAGCTAAACGAAAGACAGAGAGAGGATCTGGGACTCAGGCCCTGATACACAGATGGAAACACGGGGACCCAGGGCAGTTCATTGGGGAGCTAATGAGTGGGAGGCAAGACAGAGTCCAGTCTGTAAAAGGGACAGGGACAGAGGGACTAATAGAGAGACGGGCCTCTTCAAAGCTGTTCTGCCAGCATCAGCCCTTTCTCTGTGAATTGGTTTTTGTTTTTTTTTTAAATCCTTTCAGGCTGAACAAGCCCTTTGAAATTGCTCCCAAACTTTCAGAGCCTCCACAGGGTAAGACAGCTAGAGCCACAATTCACACTACGATCTGGATCCTCAATAAAACAGCAAAGCTTAACATCTGGTGATTGAGCACAGCATTTAAAGATAGGATAAGGCCATTGTTCCATAGAGACAGCCAACACCCTGTACAATGTCCTCTGAGAATTTGGCATGCAGTTCTGAGGAGCTCAGAGATGGACTGAATTCTGAGAAAGGTGGTTTGTGTTGCCCGTTAGAGACCCAGATTCCCAGGCCTCATCCCAAACCCACTGATTCAGAAACTCTGGGGATGGGGCACAGTAACCTATGTGTGAACAACCCCTTTACAGGATTCTGAAACTGAGAACTGCTAACTTGGACTGACATCAAGCAAGAAGAACCTGCCTGGGTTAGGATGGAGAAAACGTTATATAGACAGAAATACAACACAACAAAGACACTGGCGCACAGGATCAAATTAGCTGCCATAGATACATATCTAGATGTAGATATAAATCATTTCAGAAATGGTTGTGTGTGAACCAAATCTTACCCTAATAGAACCTGAAGACTATTTATGTGTAAACAGATATGAATCAGACTTCTTTAAGTGTGGTTCAACCAAGAGCTTTTCCATTTTAATTCAGTTTTTCACTTTTTGAGATAGCTGTCATCCCCCTTTACCTCCATTTTTAAGCTCCAAATTTTTTGGGATGCAAAATAAATGAAGAAATAAAGCAACCTGGTTTCTTAAGAAAAAAAGTTAAAGGAAGGCAGTGGCTGTAATGTGGAGTACCTAGGAAAACAACAGGCTTATATAGACAAGCAGCCAAGTCAATGTGCAGATTGTGTCCAGGGTAAGGGAAAGAGCAAGGTGACTCTCCTCTAGAGAGAACTAGGGTCAGTTTTTTAAAGGGGCAATCCTAGTCCTATCTATTCACAGTATAAAGAAGGTTGGAAAGGGCTTGAGTTCAGTCCCATCCATTTTATGGGAAATGACCTGCTCAAGGCCATGTTGACAATAAGCTGCAGAGTGAGGTGAGACCTCAGCCTCTATCTGCCAGTCCCTCCTGGCCTCTCTGCACTGTCACCACAGAAAACGAAATGACCCTATGCTAGCCTGCTCTGCTTACTGCCCAGAAGAATCCCCAGATGACCCCAGGAATGTCCAGGTGGATTTTACTTACTAAAAATCCCAGTGTTTCTTATTTACTGCAAAACTGTATTAATAAAAGAACCCCCCCCAAGGTCCATAGCTAAAGTCTTTCTTGCTTCCTATTGTGGAAGATAATGATGCCTGAGGCAGAAAATAAATTTCAAGTCCAGGTGAAGCACCACAGTGAAAAAGTTCAGGCTTTCCCCTTCATGTGTCATCCTGACAACAGCACTTGGGAACAAGAGATGCAGGGACTCAGCCTGCTGGGCATGCAGGGCAACCAGCTCTGCCCCCTCTAGGAGGAGGAGACAAAATCCCACACATTCTGACCTCACATGTTTTCCACATGCATGACAAAGGGGGACAGCGAAGTTAATGATTTCATGTCTTTATTTCAGAGCTGGAGAGAGTGTGCCCACAGAACAGGCAAAGAGTCCATGGAGTGAGTTTGGTCCTGGGATACAGGAGATAAATTCTGCCCACTTCATAATTTTCCTAAGGCACAGTGACCAGAGACAAGCCAAATTCTGACCACCTTCTGACACAGTTATGAGCTGTTATTGAAAAGGAGGAGACTGGGCAGGCAGTGTGAATAGCCCAGCACAAGCCTCCGGGACCTGCAGGGAAAGCAATTGAAGTCCTGGTCTGCACTGTGGATAGGTGGCCCAGTGACTACTATGGCTTCAAGCCCAGTCCATCCAAGTTACAGGAGGGCCACCGATCTGGCTGTTTGCATAGTCCCAACATAAATCATACACTGAGACTTAGATTTGTTTTCTTTTTTCCTTTTTTAAATAAAATAGTAGATTCAAATGGTCCCTGTAGACTATGATCCTTTCATACGGCTCAGTACTGCTGCTAGCCCTGGACAATTGCACAGCCTACGCAGTATCTGGAAACACCAGCAAACAAGCACCTGGACAAGGCATTGACCCACTCTTGGTTAAGCAAGTCTTTGAACATCAGTGTCTCTGCATTAATTCTCAGACCATCGTTCTCATTCAGAATGATGATAACCAGGAGCCCACATGTTCTCAGAGACAACCAAGAGTTTTAGATCACGGTCCCATCAGCCCTAAACATGAGAGAATATAGGTGTTCTTTGTAAGATACTTAAAGTCCTACATAGAGACCAAATTCACTTTCACTTCATTCATCTCGTAGTGAAACCAACCAAAATAACAAACCTGAAGGTTTCTAAGAAACTCCCATGGCCTGGGGGGAACAAGCCTTAAAACTCTGCCTCAGGAACTCCACTGTGTTTAAGCACTAGAGACACATTCAGTCAGTCTTGCTAACGTTAAGAGAACTGAAATCAACCATTATAAGCTACTAAATGCTTACTTGGCACATGTGATGCTCATTTTGCAGGGCTGGTGGTACGTGCAAGACTGTATTAAATAAACACCAACACTTGTATTGGTTCTCAAGCTTTAGTGATCAGAATCATCTGAAGGTTTGTTAAAACACAGATTGCTGGTCCCAGAGCTTTTGAATAACTAGTTCTGGGAAAAGACCTGAAAATTATTTGCATTTCTAATAAACTTCCAGATGCTGCTACTGGTTCAGAGACCACACTCTGAGAACTGTTGTAGAACATTCATAAAGCCCTGCTGAATTTAATCCATGTCCTCCTGATCCCTCGCCTCTGCCCCTGCCCACCCTCTCTCCTACTGCAGGGAGAGATGCTGGTGCTGGCCCACTTCCCACTGCTGCTCCTGCTCCTGGGGGTGCCCCAGGCCGGCCTCTCCCACAGGTCCTACAAAGCCAAGCCCCTCTCCAGCTGCATCGATGTGGCCCTGGTTGCAGCCACTAAGAGCCAGCTGGAGGATGCACCCCTGCTGAGCAAGAGGAGCTTCCCCTACCTGCCCGGCCAACACCCATCCTCAGGGGAGGATGAGGAAAAGGAGGAAGAGGAAGCAGACAAGGGGAAAAGGACCTTCTCTGGCTCTGGAGGTGGAGGCAGGGCTGGAAGCACCCAGTACAAATACCTGTCCCAAGGAGAGCTCAGGGGGAGGCTGTACCGGGACAAGGCCAAGAGTGACCGGCGTGCCAAGTTCACTCTGTCCCTCGACGTCCCCACTAACATCATGAACATCCTGTTCAACATTGCCAAGGCCAAGAACTTGCGAGCCAAGGCAGCTGCCAACGCCCACCTGATGGCCCAGATTGGGCGGAAGAAGTAGAAGCAGAGGCCAGCAGGGGGCACAGCACGGGAGGGCAAGGACCCGGGTTGCAGGCCGTGTGGACGGTGAGGGTGTCCTAGGGTTATGGGCTGCTGTCCTGCCTCCTGCCCAGCTCCCTCCTCCCTGTATATACACACCATTGCTGCGGTCACACACAGGCCATCACAGGCTCATCCCTCCTTCTGGGTCTTCTTCCCCATGACAAATAGCAAAGGTCATGCAGACCTGCACCCCACTTCTCCCTGGACCCCATGCCTAAGAAGAGGGTGCTCGGGGCCCCTCTCTGCATCCAGCCCGGCAGAAGCCAGGAGACCAGGATACACACTGCTCACCATCCTGCCACCAGCTCCCTTCTTCCCTCTCACCCCCATTAAAACCCATGGCTTCTTGAACCTGGGCTGGTTTCTGTTCCTTCTTGGCCAGCTGTGTTCAAGGTTCTGCATGGGAAAGGGGAGGCAGGTTAGCTAGGTTCTGGCCAGCGAGTCCTGCCTCTCCCAGAGGCATGGCTCCTGGAGGTCTGAAGAGGAGTAAAGAGCCTGGAAAAGCCAGGCAGGTAGGACTCTGTCAGATGTCCTTGCGTCCAGAGCCACCCAGAGCCTGATCCTACCAAGGGGGTGCTACCTGGGTTCTGCTGCCCCAGGGGATGCAATTATCCCCCTTGTGGCACCCAGACCCCTCTAGGCCTTGGCCGGGTCCTAAACCTCTAGGAAGTGCTTATAGAGCCCAGCGGCCAGAGACACCCTGGCTGAGCCCTGGGTCAGCTGTTTCTTCACACAGTCACACTCTAGGCTCCCCATTCTCTCCTCTCCTCACACCTCCAGTACATCCTCCCCTATCCAGCCTTACCTAGTGACTTAATTCCTATTTCACTAAAAAAACTTGATGTTTCAGAAGCAAAATTTCACAGAATCCCCCATCTACCTTCCTAAAAGCATCTCTATTATATACTCTGCCTTCCCCCACAGGTCAGAGGAGCTGTCAGGCTCCCAAGGCCTGCACTAGGCTCCCGTCCCCTCCTTCCTCCTCGGGGCATCATGCCAGGACATCCCAACAGCAGCCCATTGCTCTGCTCCTTTTACGGCAGCTCCCGTTGAAGCTTTGCTTCCTACTTTCCCCTCAAGTCCACTGAACCCACCTGAGGCAGCTCTGCACCTATCACTGCACTGAGGCTGTTCCTCAAGGCCAGCCAAGACCTCCATGCTGCTAAACTCAATGGTTGAGTGACAGCCTTCAGCATCTGTGACACATGAACCACCACCTCCCCTTGATACATTTCTTTCTGGCCTGGTTTTCAGGACACTGTGCTATGTCCCTTCTTCTCAATGGCCACTCCTTCTAAATCTCCTTTGTGGGCTCCTTTGCCAGGCTTGTTCTCTCTCCAGATGCTGCATTCTCCCTGAATTCTTCCTTCAAGTCCTTGTCAAATCCTCTTTCTCATTGAGGTCATTTATTAGGTGACCACCCCATTAAAGCTGCAGCCTCCTTTCCCCCTTACCATGCTGTGTTCCTTCACCTTGTCACATGCAAAACAATTCACTTATTATGTTTACTGTCTCTTCCCCCCAACCCTCACCACCACATGAACTCCCTGAGGACAAACATGATTTTTGTTTCGCTCAATGTTGTATCCCCAAAGGCCCAAACGGTGAGTAGTACCTGACAGGCAGGCACTCAGTAAATAACTGGGGAAAATGAATAAATTCATCAGGGACATATTAAAGTTCTTGTGATAAGGAATCTGTACACACTGAGCATTTGAAGTGCAGTGTTTATAATACTTTAGAGTATTTCGCCTAATAGAATCACATTCAGTTTTATAATTCCAATTTTAAAATATGTAAATTGAGTAAATAATTTACACTTGTGATCTTAAACAAAAAACTTATTAGTTTGTAGGCAGTTTGGAACACTTTAAACTACTTAATCACCTAATTCATAGTATATTAGATTTTGAAAGAATTACTTAGAGCACTTGGCAAGATTCATCAGACTTTACAAATAAAGAAAATATATTAAATTTGTCAATGCAGTCCAAGATATCTAAGAGCATTTATCTAAGATTGCTCTTAGGAACCAAAAATTCCCTAATTTTTGCCACTGCAAAGGGATTACAGAGGGTCCCAAAAACTCATGTATATTCCCTTTAAAAGTGATTAAGTTTGGTAAACTTAGAAATAACTTAAGTCACAAGCTGAATTTTAACAATTTAATCCACAATTAGGTTTTTATCTTAATTTTAGTAGAATTTTAAAAACAAAACCTCTAAATGGTCTTTTCTGAGTGTATGAATATGCACTCATAAATGCCCTCCAGAATGCCAAGACATATGAACTGAGCAGTGATTTAAGCATTTCACTGGTGCCCTTCAGTCTGAAGAGAGAAATAACACATGTACATAAAAGTGAAATAGTTGAAAGCACTATGTGGGAATGCACATGAAACAAGCATATTTTATCAGTGAGTATTTATTACAATATTTTCCATGGACAGAGACATTCAGAGTGTATCTTGACTATCCCTAAATCCTGGGGTAAAAGTAAATGGAGTCCAAGGGGCAATGGAAATGGATTCCATGGAAAAGACAATGTTCGAACTGGGTTTGAAGTAGGCATTACGTCACATGGTCACAGAGGGAAAGCAGAGAGGAGAGCAGAGGCATGGGAGAGAGGCAACCATGACTTAGGGAATGGCAAGCAGTTCCACTGGATGCATGGACTGCAGGACCACGCAGTAATGGATGGGATTGGAAATTATGCAGGAACTGGTTGGCACAGGCTCTGCATGCCATGCATAGGAGTTCAGAACTTAGGCTTAAAACAATGGGGACTTTTTAAAGCTTTGACTGAGTTAACAGAATGATCCAAGTTCTGCTTCCGAATGTTCAGTCACAGGTGGATCAGGAAGACAAAGTGAAAAGCAGAAAAGCATTTAGAGACTGGTATGCCACTTACAAAGAGGATTTGATGACCTGAGCTAGGATGACTGCACTGGGAAGAAAGGGGAGGCAATGGATGCCTGAAACATCACAGAAGTAGAGTTGACAGCACTTATTCTATGTTGAGAGCAAGAAAGAGACAGCAGTGAAAAATGGCATCACTTAGAATGTGCTTATGAGAGATGATGACACAAATAGGCAAGCAGAGAATCCTTAAGGAAGAGCAGATTTATTCTGAGGAAATTGGTAAATCCTTAGAGGTTTAAGTGTAGGCAATACATCTGGGAGGAAAGGTCTAGCAAGTAAGTGGGAATTCTAGTATAAAACTCAAGAGAGAAGGAAAATTTAGAGTTTACAATGTCCCCCACACAGAGGTCGTGAATAAGATACATAAGGGCCAGAGAAGAGGGCCAAGGTGTCTCCACTAGGAAAAGACAGTGCCAAAGAGAAGTCCGTGGAGATGTCAGATGGAGGAGAACCAGGTAGGGCCACAAGAGTCAAAGGACAAGTTTCAAGAAAAAAGAATAACCAAATGCTTACGGTCAAGAAATCTGAAGGCTGAGAGTCATTGTTTTAATAAATAAAGTACAATCAGTGGTCTCTGAGATAACAGTTTCTGTAGAATGGTGGGGAAGACACCAAGTTACAAAGGTTGAGGAGTAAGCAGAGGATGAGGCAGTGGTATGGAATGCATATCCTTTTGAAATGTTTGGCAGAGTGGACAGATGTGATAGCATATTATGGGAGCAGTAAAATCCAGCAAAAAGGGTTGATTGTTTTGAATGAGGGGACCTTGACATACTGGTAGGGAGAAGAAAACAAATCAGTGAAGAAAAGGAGAGAGAATATACAAGGGAGACTGAAGGAGCAATCTTCTAGAAGGTAAGTCAAATGGCGAAGGTTCAAAAGCAACAAATGGCCCTAGAAAGGGGCGCATTTTTCCTCTGCGTGGTAGAGGGTATATGAAGATCCAACCTGATTTTACGGAGAGACTGAAGAGGAACATAAAATGGTAAAGTCACATGGGTGGTATTCAATAAAGTAGTGGATAAGATCATCTCCTGGCACTTTTCAATTTAAAAGACATTTGAGTACCTACCTATGCCTGATCCTATAGGTACTAAGAGGGTCCCTGCCCCAAGGTCGCATATAACTAGCACATAAATCCTCATCTCAGGCCATCTCACTCTTTGGATAGTCAAATGTCACGTCCTCTCAACCCCAGGTCCACAGTAAGAATAGAAAAGGGAGTTATTTTGACAGAAATAAAATGACCCCAGATGGAAGTATGGTAATACAGGAAGGAATGAAGAGTACCTTTGACATAGCAGGTGGGTAAATCTAAGCAAACGGTGCTGGTTAAAGCAATAGTAATCAACGTCTGTAGGGTTTAAAATACACAGAGCATCAAACCATAATGTAACAATACACAAAAGGCAGAAGGGTAGTAAACGAAGGTGAGGTGTTCTATGGTCTTTTCATCATCCAGGAAGTGGTAAAAACACTTATGTGTGGCAGATGCTCATAAGTTCAATTTCTAGGATATACACTAAAAGAATTTTTTAATGAATGTTTAATAAGCTAATAGGAAATATGAATAAAGAAAAATATTTGGTAAATCTAATATTTATATATGGCATGTAGAGGCAAGCAGCATCACACATTAATCAATAATTAGCTTGACAAAATCTTGAAACTGGAAAGAACCTTAGAAATATCCTTATCTGAGATGAGGACTTTAAGATATGGAGAGGTATATATTTTAAGATTACATCATTGTAACATTGCCATGACTTGGATCCATCTTTCCTAATACCTAGTTAAATATTCTCTCCATGTTAGTCATTACCATTTGACAGTGATAAACTTTATTAAAAGAAAGAGCCTAAAGAAAAGTATTTGAGTCTTGATGACTACTCTTTAAGAGACCTAATCCTAAAACTCACAAGTATGTGAAATGTCCATATGTAGGGAAAATGGAAGTCCATGGCCAGGATCCTCACCTGGTCCTAATCTACTCACTGTGTACATGTAATGATGTAATACTTAGCCTACTGCACAGGTGAATGCTTGCACACCCACTGGCAATAGGCCTTTATTGCATTTGTTGCTATAAAAAGAGCTCCACCCAGTGCTAAGGGCAGAGGAAAGCAGCCAAGGAGGAGAACAGAGGCTGGAGGCGAGGGGAGAACCTGGACTGGAGGCAGCACCTGGGGCAGAGTCTACGACAGAGGCAGGATTCTAGCACTTGATCTGCCACCATGAGAATAAAGCTTGGTATAAGCCCCTTTTTACCCCCAAAGGTTCCATTGTCATTTCTCAGTCTCACCAAATCCAGAATGAACTTGCCCAGGGCTGAAACCCTCAGGTGAGACACCATAGTATTTAGGTTATCAAATACCTTTACTTACTACTGAATAAGAGACATGATTTTAAAATGCAAACATGAGAGACACAGGTGAATTGACAAATAGAGCCCCCAGGAATCTGGATACTAGCAGAGGCTCCTTCAAGCACTGAAACAGGTTTTCTTCTACCCTTATATAGAGCCAGATAGTACACTTTCAGATTTGGTGAAAGTGACAGTGGGGTTCAGCAAGTCACTCCTTTTATTTGAAGAAAAAGTATTTTTTACTTTCCTCCAAATGTTTGATCACAGCAAGTCAGAGACATGAGAGTGAGAATCATATTTCTTTCCCCACTGCTATACTGGAAGTCCAGGCAGACCTTAAGGTTAACAGGCCTCAGGTTCCAAAGTGAGCTCTAGCAAGAAGCTGTTTTCATGTCAGCAAAGATTGAGCCCTCGGCAGAGGGCCATGGAAGTAGAGTTCAAAGGGGATGCAGCCAAATGCTGAAAGTCTCAGGATCCAGCAAAGACCCACTGATGGTTGGGTAGGCTGGACAGCCATACCTTTATGGGCACTGGAGAGTACCTGAATATTATTTCTACCAAACTGTGCTCATTGGGTTCCACGGAGACAATGGCTGGGTCTAAAAACAGGCAGAATGGTACATCATGTGACTGGTGCTCTTGAGGCCACATGTCAGGGCGGTGGTTTTCATACAGAAGAGCAGCTAGCGGGAAACTGTTAAGGACAGAGCAGCAT